TCTGACCTCATAATTTAGGAACTTAACTAACGTCTCTCTCGATTGTAACATGCCAAGCGCTAAATACTAAGAATATTCTGTTTTCGAACCCGGAATCACACGCTACAACTTTGACTCCTCTAGAAAGTATTTGTAGCTTGGCCCACTTCGTAGAATTTTGGATACTTTTTGGAGTGAGCCAAGCAACGAATCAAACGGGAGAAAGAACCGTTCAAGAATTTGGACAAAAAACAATAAGTTAAGTCACCGGTTTACCTTGAATCGTGTTGAAAACAACAGAACAAGAAAAAGTAAGATGGCGCCGAGAAGCAGGTAAATAGGGCAAATGAAACAACAGGGCATGAATATAATTCATAATAGAAGAGTATAATGTAATTAAAAATATACAACATAACCGGAAAGTTAAGAGTGAAACATAGCAGGAACAGGAAAACATAAGTGGAAACATGTGTCAGAAGGAAGAGTATAACAGAATGCATAACGTTAAAACATAATTAAATAACATAAGAAAAAATACTTAATATAATAACAGGAAAATGTGACATAATTAATGGTTATAAAAACATGCGTATAAGCTAAAAATATAGTTGATACGATCGTAGAAAACTTAACAGGATAGCAAGAAACATAACTGGAAACACAAAAAAATAAACTGGGAAATATAACACAAAAAATATTTCTAAGCTTAGTAACATAAATTTCATAAATTACAACACGCAAAATGTATATAATGCCCATTTATGTTACATTTTGCAAACTCGCCATCTATTTTGTTTATATCATAATCGAACGTTCTCACGCTAGTCGTAGAATTGGCGCTTCGGTAATTAAAAAAAAAATATGAAATTTTCGTTAATTTATTACATCAGGCAGCATACCACATAAAAATAAAGTCATAAAATGTGGTTATTAATGCTGTTTCGATGCGTTAAACCCCCTTTTCAGTGTCAAATCTAGAAAAATACAAAGTATAACTGTTAACTTTTCTATATAAATATAAGAAAATATATCGTGTTATATAAAGATTTAGTAATTTACATAAATTTTTATAACATAAATATCCTTCTGTTATGTAACTGAAGCTCTTCTTACAATTTGAGCGAGAGCCAAAAAATGGTGACATTAATTCTTTTTATTGATAAAATTAAAATGGGAGTATTGTTAAGTGTTGTTTATTCATAAAAAAATTGACGGGTTGTTTACAGTAATATTATCCCAACTGGTAGGCCGCGATTCCTAGGGGATTTGTGTGCTGATGAGTGATGCCATGTTGATTAGCCACCCTTTTTACCGTGTTACAAAAACACACTAAAAAAGGGTGGCCAATCAAAACAAAACTTAGTTTTACTCTTCCTCTTCCTAATTTTTCAGTGGAACAAAAGAATAAGGGTAGGAATTGTTTTCTATTGTGAGATGCAGGGAAGTAACATAGTGTAGGAGGATAGCTTACTTCAGACCATTTGCATGCCCTAAATAATTGTTAAGATATTGTATAAGGATTTCATCGCTAAAACTTCACATAAGAGTGCGAGTTAAGCACACAGGAAGGCGTTTTGTATATAATTTCATACATTGTGTTGCTTCATTGTAGTAATATCAAACAATTTGCATGTAAACGTTTCGATGTAAACACTTAAAAACAAGATAGTTACTGTTAAGACATGGAATAAAAGTATTAAATTCATAGATTTAAATTATAGACAGACATATAGACAGGCAAACGTAAGTAGATGCCTTGTTAATGATGTAACCGAATTATCTAAATTGAGTCGTGTAATTTTAGATTAAACGTCACTTTTGATGCCATTCTTCAAAGGATAGTAACGAAAGGGTTGAAGAAAAATATGCAAATTTTTATTTTGTTTTCAATATTTTGTATGAAATTTTCCTCAAATTGTGTTATTCTCAATGTTACGTACGTCAAGGCGGTCAAGGTTGACACGATTATTTTTTCCGTTACGTCAAGTTACTAGTGCATTAAACATACATTAAGTTCAATGTTCAACATGTTAAACACGTCGCAACAGTTTTTCAATTTTGAATAAAGATACACAGAAAAAGAACTGAAATTAGAAAACCATTAATCGGCTTTAAAAAAAACGATCAAAAATTTACTTTTAGCTAATTAAAGATTTAAATTTTTAAAATTGACCAATTAACAATCGAGCGTTTTAAATTCAAATCGTCAATAACCAATCGACACTCGCCGATTTTAATTTAACGTTCTTATGACGCACGTTTAAATTCAAATTAAAGAATGTTGATTGGTTATCATCGATTCAAAATTTCGAGTTTGAATTACAAATATGAATAAATAAATTAATAATATATTTTCTCCCCTTTCTTCCGTGCCGTACTTTTATACATATTTTACGATAAAGTACGTCCGAATGTCTGCTCGTAAATTGTATAAAAAATTATTTCGATCGATTTTTTTTATGTTTTGTATTATTCATTTCCTCGAGAGTTGATTTCGAAACGAATTCCATTTACTCCAGATGGTTCACATTAAAAAAAGAAAAAAAAACTATTGAATGTTCGCGGCTCTTAATATGGCTCCTTGGAGATATTTATGAGTTACACGAGTTAACAAACATAAAAATATTATTCATCCGAGTGCGTTCCCTCTACTCCGTGTGAATTAATTAATTAGGTCGCTGAGCAATTCATAAATGGGACCACTTTTACGGGCATTAACCGTGATACAATTCGTTGAATGTCGCTTTTTTCCCATATTCTAACTCTCCCCTCTTGTGGAGGTCTTTTCTAATCATGGGTTCGGCTAGGCCCACAATGGGGGTGAGGGACGGGCCCTCTCTCTTGAAGAATTGCTCGCCCGGAATGGATTCAGGGTCCCCTAGAGAGATAGAATAAGGCCTTAACCACCTCGGCTATGATATCACTTTTTTGGGTTCTAAATCTCTCGGAATTGAAAGAAGAAAACAAGAATTATAAACGTAGAGTTTATAATTCTGTAGAATAAGCGGCTTACGTGACAACAATCACGATTGACTGTTCTTGAAACGAAAACGCTAATCAGTTACCGTATCCTGCGAAATATTAACCAATTAGCGATGCCAAATTCGAATTAACTAATGCTGATTGGTCAAATTCGAATTTAAATTTTGATGGCGAAAATATTTTCTAGAAACGAAATAGATGAGCAATTATGGGCTTATTACTGAAGAGGAGCATCACAAGGCCTCTCTTATCGTAATTTTCTCTTTAATCATCATCATCTTATAAGATCGGGTGGACAATTTGCTATCTTCCCACAATCTTCATGCGTCATCTTCCATTCTCAGTCTGATCCCTCCACCTCTTCCTGGATCTTTTTGTTCCGTTCTTCTTCCATCGTCATTTTCGTGTTTGCGGTATAAATTGGCCTAAATTTTGGGTGGAAATTTCGTAAGAGGTCTTTCTAAACGCCAACCCGATGCTTATATGATTCAATTCTGGATGATGGATCTCAATCGCTTGCGTTAAGCGATTGGCGACTTTTACCAAGCGATTTCTAGCGAGTAGAAAGTGCATTTCTGAAGCAAATCGATGACGTAGAGCGCATTCTGCAACCATATCCTCCAGTTCGGTATCTGCTCGAGCGCCAATCTCCAACTTTTTATCGATCGCAACGTTACATCATCGGTAACGAAACACGTAACATTGCGGCGAATCGCTATGGACAACGCGAGAATGTGCAGCTAATCGCGGGTATTATAAACCCGAAAGGGGGATGAGTGTGATTCTGATGACGTATCCGCGGATCGGGGGGGTGAGAAATTCTAGAAAGGATGAATGGGAGATGCGCGTTGACGGAGTGAAGCCACGCACGCTCAGAAGAAAGGACAATCACCCTTCTGTCGTAGGCGAGTTCGATCGGTTGGAATGCGGCGAAGCGCTTCGTTCCGAAAACATCCAATTCTGTGTTTATAAAAAAAATGGAGGAGGAGGAGGAGGAGGAGGGAGAAAAATTGACGCGATGCGGTCGAACTCCCGCGCCGTTCTCGCCTATATTTTAAAATTCGCGATTCGGGTGAGGAGAAAACACAAAGCGCATTGTAATTCTCTATCCATTTGAATAAAACTGTAGACATTCTGTGTGTTTGTGTGTGTACTCCCGTGACGTCATGTCCGTTTCACTATCGCTATCGCTTATCGTCCCGTAACTTTAGCGAGAGTGGACGGCGCGATGGCTTATCGTTGGTGGGGGTGGCGCGTCGCGAACCCGTTTAATCGGGCAGTATCGATGCGATGGTGGATATTTACTCGCTTTATCGATCCTGGGTTGTTTTGCGGGGGTGGAAATCCGATCGTCTCTAATTAAAGAGCTCCAGACCGTTAGATAAGCGAGCGTCTACCTTGTGTTGGCTTCGTAATAGGGAATTTAGAGAAATACTATTTTACTCCCCCATCAGATAGAGGACCGGCTTGGCAGCAAGGAAGAGGGGAAACCCCTAAGTGAGGTTTTTAAAACGGCGGGTGGTCCTCCTCCGGAAAGAACATTCGACGCGTCTTGGAAAGGTGCCAATTACATACATGTTACCCGATGGCGATCCGTTCTACTAGCCCACAGACGCTTATTGCGCGAGCATCCAGTCGATACCGACGGGTGGCATCGCCCTCGTTTGACCCCGAGATTGGTTTACGTTCCGGCGCGTCGCTTGCCTTCGCGCCACGCTGCGCGCCTTCGCTTCCCATCTCCCCTTCGTGTCGTATGGATCGCGTCCGGTACTGTTTACAGATTTAGCGGGCGTTCAAGGTCGAGCCGATCGGCGCGCGTGTTATTCTCGCGACACCTGGTGGCCGAAAAATGGAGAGTGGCCGCCGCCTCCTCCTATACTTCCGCTCTCCTCCGCCGTCCGACATTTGGCGCAACGAATATGTTAAACGTAATATTTCGATCGAGCCAATAGGCGGTCGGTTGTGCGTCAGGTGACGGTTGTTTACGGAAAGGAGCCAATGGGGGAAAGTTACGGGACGTCGGTTAAGCGTCGCGCCACGCCTCTTGGCCGCTGCGCGAAGAAGAGACGCCATCTAAGCTTCAGTTGGTGGATGTTGGTCTAACGACGCTCGCGCGATCGACAGCGGGCCATGTTTTGACAGTTGGAGCCGTACTTTCGTCACTTTACACAAGTTAGGGACAAGACCGTAGTAGAGATTAACCGTGGCGTACGGTGCGGAAAGGCGTTTTGAGATGCCACATCAGCGTGGAGGAAGAAATGGCGTACTGCAAGAAGCGGTGGTGGAAGATGACATGCAGCAGTACCAGGTCGTGATGGAGAACCACGATCCCACGGCCACCATGTGTTGTGTACCCGCCGGTTGCCACGTCGAAGAAGCCATCAACCTGGACTATCTGTCCGACGTCGTCAAGGTGATATGCAACAACGAACACTGCCAAGAAGGTCAGTTTATGCATAAATTATGCTTCGAACAGTGGGAGGAAACCGTGTTGACTTACTTACGTTCGACCGGGAGAGCCCGCAGCTGGAGCGAGAAGCAGAGATTACAGAACCTGTGGACCAAGAAGGGCTATGATCTGGCATACAAGGCGTGCGGTTGCAAGTGCGGCAAGGGACACCTGCGCAAGGATCTGGACTGGATGCCACCTTCCGTCAACGTGGACGACGTCAGCCGGAAGAAGAAGGGAAGGAAGAAGAAGAACGACAAGCCGGCTCTCACCCTCAACGGAAACGGAACCACCAAGCAGGCGGCTCTTCCCGCCATGAGGCTCCGAAGCTCTAGCATGTCCAGCACGGGTTCCGGTTCCGGTAGTCCCCCCAGTTCGGCATCGGCCGACTGCCCCCTGTCGCCCACCTTCGCCGCTTCCAAAAAATTCTTCGCCGATCGCCGCGAGAGGCACGGATCGGGTAGTATCTTCAGTAGGAGACAGGATTACAGCTCGTTTAACACCTTACCTCGACACAAGATCAACTCGTACCACATCAAAATGGAAGACGAAGGAAATCAGGGAAACGACGAAACGCGTTGCTTCATCCTCTCCACCCTCAGCGCCAATAAGATCAACCGCATCGCCTGCATCCTCTGCCACAACGCCATGATCATCTTCGACAGATATCCGCTAATCGACGGCACCTTTTTCCTCTCTCCTCGACAGCACAGCAAGAGCTCCGTCAACATGAAGGGCGACGGCAGGATGCAGTATCTCAACGCCGTGTGTATGGCGTGCCTCGAGGGTTGGAACACCACCCTTCGATGCCGTTACTGCCAGACCAGATGGAACGGCAGCGATCTCATACTCGGCACCATGTACTCCTACGACATATTGGCCGCCACTCCGTGCTGCTCCGAACGCCTTCGATGCAACAATTGCCACAGGATGGTCATACTACCCGAGCAGCGTTTACAGTTCTTCAGTGACTACAGTCACAGCTTGGCATGCCCTCACTGCGGTTATATCGACTTCCATTTTGTCAAGTCTCTATCCACTTACCACCGAAAGGAGCGTGAGTAGTTTTCGTCAATTTACGCGCGCCGAAAACAATACAAAAACAAACACTAGGTAGGCCGGGCGTCGTTTTCATTCAAAAGCACACTTTAAAGGTGACGGACACACGGTTTATTTCTTTCGTTTTTAAGTCTTTCGCGTAGAAATGCGCACCACAAAAGGCTCGATTATCCGCAGCTTTCTGACCTCCCATTTTGTTTTTTCTATTGTTATTTTGTGTGTTGTAACACTACGACACTCGGCCTGTTGTATCCGTCTTGTTTCGCCTAGGCCTACTATCGTGGTGGAGGCTGCGGGGTGATTGTCAAAAGTACAAATTCGACAGAAAATAAACAGAAATTACACTAGTTAACCACATAGTTTCTATAGGTCCACGCCATTTTTTTTATTTTGTCAATCTTCATATTGGGAGACTGGTTCTCCAAAGAAAAAAAAATACAAAAAAAATCTCGTAGGTGGTCGTTTCTGTTTAACAATTATTTTCAACAATTGATTAGTAACTAAAAAACAAAACAAACAATGAAGGTGGCTTAGTTACAAGTATATAAATAAATAAAAAATAAATAAATAAATGTTTTTTCGAAATCAAGGTGGTGGCTCGCCATTTTTCAAACGCACAAAGAAAATTACTAAAAAAAAAATAATGATGATGATAATAATAATTGTAGATTTAGGTCTGCCCCTTGACGTGGGTCGAACCAAAATTTTGTGATGTGTATCCGCTTGTGATGACGATTTGAGAAAAAATATATACATACAACAAAAAAAGAAAAAAAACAAATCGGAAATGTATTTTCTTATGATTATTGATTTCGATACGAAATTGCAGCTTGCTTTTCGGTACTTCTCCTCGGAGTAGGAGCCTCGTACATTTCGAAGTTTGCCTCCATATATATATATATTTTGTAGTCGTTCGGAAGTTTAGGTATGTAGCGGGTGGGAATTCTCCCTTTTTTCACCTCTCCCCCTCTCGTTTTACCAATTTTTTTTTCTAATTTTCGCTTTCGCCCTCGAAGTATCTTCGGGCGACACTTCTTTGTTTTGGCTCATTCCCGCTCGAACTGTGAACTATTGTAATGGAAGTGGAACACTCGGGTGTGGTCGTAAGTTACGTCATCCTCTAGCTGTTTGGGAACAAACAACTCTTGGCACTGTGCCAGAGCACGTGCCTGTCGGGCGAGAGAGACTGTTTCCTGCTGGATTTCTAACAAATCGACCCTTTCTGTTTCTCTAATTTTTTCCTATTGTTTCTAGTGTTTTAATTTTTGTTGTTGTTTTTTTTTCTCCCTCGACGTTCGAGCGTTTTTTTTTTCTTAAGAATTTTTGTCAAAATAAACAAAAAAAGGTATATGCAAACGAGTCGAGTCCTTTTATAAATAAATGAAATATATATATAATGTAGATTCACGCCCCCTTTAAAAAAAACAACGCTTTCTCGTCACGTTTCGAATATTCAGCGCTCGGATACTTATGTCTTGAAACGACGACCATCCATCCCGTTCCACCATCGATTTCACGTTTCGAACGTTATCGACATATACAGAAAAAAATTAATAATAATAAAAAAAAATAATAATACATATATCTAGATGTGTATCGTACACGATTCAATATATCGCTGAGCTTCGGTGCACTTCTCAGGGAATTGTCTCTGTTACGTTATCGCTCGGTCCGCCATTCCTCTCGTCTACTACGTAACACAACTTCTGTCGATGGTAATAATTAAAATAAAATAATAATAATAAAAAAGACAAGAGAAACCACACTACAAAAAAAAGCAGGCTTTAGGTTACGCTTCAATACACGTAATCAATTGTGACAAAAAGGAAACATTCCTGAGAACTGTACATCTCCCTCCTTCTATAAACTGGCCAATAAAGTAAAAGTTTTGGCTGCTATCTTGTGTTGTGTGTGTGTGTGTGTGTTGGTAAGGTTATTTAGAAACCCTTCCACCCCCCGTTCGCAGCGCCTAATTTGCACACGGTGCCGGGTTTCGGCAATTCTTGCCAAGGATCCGCTCGCGAGCGACTTTTTAACGTCTCTCCCCCCCTCTCTCTCGCCTGCCAGTAGAATTTACCTCTCCTGCTATTTCTGTCTGGCGGAGAAAACAGGAGGTCAAAGCCCGTCCGCGTTGACCTACTTACGGGTGCTGTGTTAAAATACGGCCTCTAATGGCGTTGAGTTACTTACTTCGTTGCTGTCACCCCTTAAAAATAAAATAAAAAATAATTTAAAAAATTCAGGCGGTTTTTTTTTGCTTTAGAAAGACCGCACCGTCTTCCCGCGCCCCGCGGCTATCGGTCGCGCGTCTTTTAAAAATGGCGAAAGGGAAACGGAGAAAGAATGGCGTTTGACATCTGGTGTTTCGAAATGTAGTGTAGACACGTTTTCCTTATCGGGTGTTGTTAAATAAAGCGCGTTGCAGTGGTGGTCCGAGTGGGTTTCAAGGTCACCCGATCGCGCGTCACGCGAGAGATCGGCGTTAATTTTATCGTAAAAGAAATCCGGTCGTCACGGAGATAAACTCGCCAGCTTTTATCGACGTATGCGGGCGAGACGCAATGTCAAGGATAACGGTGGCAAGGTAAGTGTACGGCGCGCTCGCCATCTGGCGGCGCCGTCGAGAAGCGCCGGTAATTAATGCGGCTTTTGCGGAATAAAAAACAAAAAGAAAAAATAACGCGTTACGCAATCGGAACCGAGAGTCTATTTTTATTCGGAGGATCAAGGACGCCTTTCGTGACTAATGGTCGATTTCCGGCCGGCGATTCATCCCAAACGAGCCCGTACGTTTCGATATACAAGATGGCGGATGATGACGGTGCGGACCTTCGATTCATTTTTTTTTTCGTTTCCTACCGAAAAATACTCCGTCGTGTGGGTTAAAATCCGAAAAATGCCATCTCGATCGAAGTACCTCCCACCTACAAAGATGGCCAATAGATAAAAGATTATGTGCTGTTTTTTCTTCTTTCCTATCGATTCGCGTGGATGAGGAGGAACTGAAAATCGATGGGAAAGTACAGTATATGGATTGAAGGAAGCTTCAAACTCGTGTACTGTAGTACATGACGTTTAACTTCCGAGATTTCAAGCTATTGCGTAAGACGAGGTTACGTGACAATTAGCAATGGGTTAGTAATAATATAAATAATAATAATGGGAGTCACGTGATCGTTTTTCTTGCTACGCCCGCTCTCGTTAAACACGTAAAATCTTTTAAGGGTATAGAAACACGTGTTTCGGAAGGGGGCATTTTGCTCACCGGAAGGAACGTCTGGAAATTTACATACAAAACTTCCGTCGTTCCCATTTGTGACCAACGTTTTTAATGAGGTTACGTAACAAAGTCGCGCGCAAAGTGGGGGGGAACACGCAGATGTTTTAAGATGCTCGAACCGGACTCGAATTACAGATTTTTTTTCGTGGTTTTCGGTAGATTCCGATGCCTCAAGGTCTTCACATTTACCATTCGGGCTTATACGAGACTCACGTGAGGAATTTCACGGCCTTTGCCAGTCACGTGCGGAATTTCGTCCCCCCTCTCGTCCGTGGATTTTGAGAAAACCGCACTCTTCCCGCAGAACAGGAAAACGTCCATTGAAGTTTGACTTCACCAACATTTCCTGGTGTTAAAATACATCTTCCGGTTCCGGATAATTTACCCGCGGTTTTGTGGCGCGAAACGACCCGTGCTATACGCCTTCCGGTGCAGACTCGTTGCATTCTTGGTGGTGTGCATTTAGCCGGGGCGTGAAAACTAATTTAGAATGGCAAAACCGGAGAGGGGGGACGATAAACTTTTGTATACTTTTTGATCTTGAATTAATTTAGTTTTTATTTTTACAACTTTATCTGCGTAATTGACACCGCGCCAGTCCTTCGACTGAGAGAACAAACAAATTTGAGGACGTCTGACGTGCCTATAACCCAATTTTATCGCGCATTCTTTCAATTTACTGATCCCCCATTTTTTAAATGGTGGTTCTTATTAATATCAAATGATAAATCTTATAAATAACTGCGTGTCTCTAATTTGCTATGACGTTTTCCATTCCCCATTCTACTAGTTGGGCGTGTGAACCGACTACCTGTCATCATCGACAGTGATGCGAGTGTGTGACCGTCTTTCCCATTCAGGCCTCGCTTTTTACCCCTCCAGCGGTACCATTATCCTCTCTGTACCATGACACTTAACGTAGATACGGATCTACGAACTTCTTGATAAAATTATCCTGTTATATTTGAAAAAAGGGGGCAAAAATCCCTACCAGTGGGGCCATAAAAAAGTTAATTTTAGCCTTTAAAAAAGAGTATTCTAATCTAATTTTTTCCCTGTCTTTGCGGGAGATCTGTATCAACAGCAAAAGAGTTCCACCCATAAACATCTCTAGTGTTGCATTTTTATTTTGAGAGAGGGAGAAAATAGGAAAATATGGCTGACAATTCGCAGAAACGCAGCATCTTCGAAGGACGCCATATTGAATGCATAAATATGCTAACGCATACTTTTATTTTCGCATTAATTAACTCGAAACTACGTCGAAGGATACTAGACTAACCCAACGTTCCTAGAAAAAAAAATACAATAAAAAAAAGGCATTAACACGTGACTAGGCCGTCGTCACTAGGCGTAACGTTTCCGTTGTTTCACCTGCCCTCAGCATCCCGCTGGTTTAATGGAAGGAACGATAAAAACAACCAGGCTGTCGTACACAATAGTTTCGTTGTATCGACGTATAGGTGAAGAATATATTATAATTTGAAGATAAATAAGGCTGGGATGATAACAGATTCGTGTAATTAAAAATCCTTCCCGTCTAGCAGACATAGTAACATAAAATCGACCGTTTTCGGTGACACGCTTCCACCCACGGAATATGGGTTCGTCGAATACACCCCAAAGGAGCCTCTCGAACTTGGAGGTTTCGCTTGAAGAGAACCGGACGTGCAACAGTTTCCCCCCTCTCGTCCTCCTTTGCTTGCTAAATTGTTTTGCATTTTCTTCTACGTACGAAGAAGGAAAAAAAAAATTGTTTTCTACGCCTACAAAACTCTACACCCCCCGTGTGCAGAGTAATAAAATTCTTTCCATCATTACAGGGTAAAAACTTCATCAAAATTTAATAAAATTTACATATTTTACTTCGTTATTCCATCGAATAAAACCTTATACAAAAATAAATTAATGGTTTCTAACAGAGATTTGATTGCAGCTTCTGTTACAATACACAAGTTCCTAATTGTTCTACTTCACTAGAAAGACGACGCCATTTTTTAAATTATCAATCAGGAATTTTGTTGCCGAATATTTTTCGTTAATACATTATTAATGTAGAGCGTTATATATAACTAGTTTTAATTAATAACACTAATTAAAACTAGTTAAACGAGTTGAAAGAATTGGGACGAAGGCAAGTTAAACTTTCATCCTTCTTAGACTTCTTAGCTGTAGAATTATAAATTCTGATTTTAGTAGTATTCATCCCCCTTTTCTTGGACTTCTTACTTGTCTACTAGGAATTTTCCCGGATATATCGGGCCCCCATTCCTTACCACCTCGCCGCCCCCGTTGTGGCCCTGGCCGAATTCACGATGTGTATGATTAAAGAGGCCCTCTTAGTGCCTATAGAGCGGAAAGAGTCAAAAATAATATATATAAAAAAGCTTGCCTGTGGGTAAAACTATTTCCGGCTTATGTCAGAAAGTTCCCGGTTTTACCTCATAAATTTACAAATTATATAAAAATTAATACAAATTGGCATGAAAATCGCTTAAAAAATGCAAAATAATTCTCTTATTTTTTAATACCTCAAACAGTAGAATTATAAAGAATAATGTATCTAATATTAGAATTTTTAACGTAGCTTAACACGTGGCCAAACAATATGGCGGTGGGCAACCGTTAAGAGGGTTCGGAGGTAAATTCTAAACAGTTTATTCTCATTCCTCAGTTAAACCTTTCTATAGTGAATTGGGTGTGTATATCGTGATTTTATTTCTATTTAAATATAACTAATTAAACGTTTTATAATTATTTAAACTAATTTTTTTACACGGTTCCTGCTCAATTTTCCCTATAAACTCGCTCGTGGATGACGTATGAGAAGAAAATAAAGCTATGCTACGCCATTTTTACTTCTTGGATAATTATAAAAACGTTTTAAATTAACTTTTTGTTCTGGTATCCTGTATAAATTTTCTATTTATAAAATGAATACGAGATCATACGCCATTTTTTTTTTTTTAATTCCTCAAAACATTTATAGCTTTATGATCAAATAGTAAAGTATTTTACAATTATTACCGTATGAGGAATCCGGATTCGAACCCAGTCATGATTTTCCATAAGTGACACCCTTCCCCATTACACTTATTTGTGTGGTTCGACCCCAATGCGGGTTGAACCTGCCTAGTCTTTTGTCTCAAAGAAATTCAAATCGAATCTTAGGAAATTCTTTGAGATGTGAAAGGAACTAAATTAATCAAAAGCAGATAATAAGAAAGAATAAAATAGGTTCGAGTTTTTTGTATTGTCCACCATTATAAGTTCTTTAGGAGGTACAGTACAATAAAAAAGGGTCCGGCTGGATAGCCGATGCGGTTAAATCATCATCCTATTGCTCTTGAGTATCCGAGATCGAATCTAGGGAATTATTCGAGGAGTGGTCTATCCTGAATACGGCAGGCTCCATCACCCATTACTTCATTGTGGGCCTAGCCAAATGTATAATGGGTATGATTAAAACGGTCCGCATAATGACTGGGGGCGGAGAGTCAAAAATAAAAACAAAAAAAATCTCCATTTGCCACGTTGTAAATGCAAAAAGAAGAATTACAGTATTCTGTTTTTCTGTTCTTTTTTAGACAAACAGCTTTATAGCCAAGCAATTAAAGCAGCTAGGATGATTGCTCGCTATACTAAAGGATCCAGATTCGAATTGCTAGCACGGGTTTCGAGTGAATTGGGTCTTATCATTTACTTGAAGATACCTGTTAGGCTATTTACCTGCATAACGTGGCCACTGGGACCTGAACTAATTTTTGACCATGTTAATTAAGGAGCCTCTAAGTGCCAACGGGCAGGATAAATACGCGTATATAATAAATATTATAACAATTACGGAAATTTTTCCATAGTTTAGTATTGATTCATTTATTTTACGAAAATTCGAGAGAAATTATCTTTCTAAGTATAACAAATTGAATAAACAACAAGATAATATAAAGTATGTAATTAACCGACATATTGCAGCTGGTATACTTTTCATAACAGATACAGTTAAAAAATGTTAATCTGATAGAAAATTTTATATCGTTTGTACAAAGCTGCTTCATTGTTTTGCAATAATTTATATATCCATTATTTTTATTTATTTATTTTTAAAATTTGTCCTATATTTAAATGCAACCTTCCATACTGTATTTGGTCTCTGTACAGTTTAGTCAATTAAAAATAATTTTATATATAAATAAAAATATAATTTTATTTTTCCTCTTATAAACTAAATCAAAATTTACTCAAAATTGTAAAAAGAAAATTAATTTAAATTCGAAAATAACTTTAGATTAACTATTTATTAACTAGTGCGTGCGTAGCTTTATACAAACAAAATGGCGTCTAAAAATATCATAAATATTTCGATTTTAATTCTATTTGTTACGTTAATTTGATGTTATGCTTTAATTTTATTTCATAAATTTTAATTTGTAGTATTAAACGGATTTAATAATTAAAAATTATTATGTCAAATGTTTATGGATTCTTAAATCATTTTTTTATTTATTATAACTTTTTAGATTTTATTTATTTTGTTTTTCGAAATTCTTAAATTATTCTTACATATTGATAAAAATTAAAATGAATTTAATATCAAGCCGTAATCATTTTATTCAAAGATCTGTGATCGAATCGAGCCGATCCTCATTCGGCGAATTTTCGGGCATCCCGCTTTGGTTCGTCGATTCTCATTCTTCAAATTTATACTCGAACCTATTATGGTTTCGGTTAACTAATGACACAATTTTTCTTTCGGCATAACTTTGCTGATAAATTATTTAATTAAATATGACGCAATTAAATTAAAAGACCATGGAAATTTAATTTTTGATTCATAAAACATATTTAAATTACCAAATTCAACGTAAGAAGAGGGCGTATTTCTTTTCAACGTGTTTTTAATTTAATTTTATTTATAATTATACAATATAGGAATAATTATTAAATTTATTTTTACTCATGTCCCTTATCTTGTTACGCTCGCAAAATCGTTTGTACCTCACACTTGGTAAGCGCACATTCGTCACACTCTAATTATAGCCAGACAGAAGCACTCTTATTAATTCTACTCTACTAAAAAGCAATAGAATAGTTAAATAAATGTTTCCCGTTTGTAGTCTTGTATAAATAATGTTCTTATACCGATTTTAGCAGAAAACATTCATAATCAATTAGTACTGTACAATACAGGTATTTAATTATCCGAAATTTTTATGATTTTAAATTAATTTTAATTTATAAGATACTAAACTCTATCTTCAGTGAATCGCGATAATTTTTTTTTACGCATTTAAAGTTTATTTTTATAGAGTAATCTCTAAAATTATGGTGTATCACTCCGGAAAAACAGTCTCATTTGATTAAAATAAAACATTAAATAATTTCAAAAGAGGAAAAGGAAGATATAAAACTATATTTATTGATAGCGTAAGTTGCGCTTTCGTATTTCTGCTCGAATTAACTTAAATGTTAGATTTAATAGAGTGCGAAATGCCGACATTTCCTCTTATATTCGCCAAGATAAAAGTAAATCCGATTTCAATTTCAACAGTTTTCATAAAGAATATATCTTATTATATTTTTACGAGGAAAATTTAACGTTTCTGATCATTTAAATTATTTTTTTCGCTTCAAAAATCGATAGTTTATGCGAAAGAGAAAAGAAAAATGGGATCTAGAGTCGGGCCCGGAGGTGGTAAACCGATAACGATACAACAAGGCCACATTTCGTTTTTGTGTCGTTTCTATAAGTAAACAATTTAAATAAAATACAGTCACTAATATTTTTATTTTGAAAGAAATTTAATACATTTTTTAGAGTTTTATAATATAAATATTTTAAATTAAGCGAATTACCAAAATGCTGTCTCTACATCTTTCGCTAAATACTCACAAAACTCGAACTCGTATGATTATAAAATTACTCATAACAACATCATTTTTCCTTTAAGTATATCTAGAAGAATACATTTATTAAAATAAATATGTGCAGCTAAAGTTAATAACGTAGAAAATATATATAACCGCGAAAAAGAGAATGTCGCTGAATTAATCATCGCTACCGGGATGGCGATTGTTATTTTCATTGCAACACTTTATCCTTTATCGAAATGGTACAGTTATTTATTGTAAAGGAAAATAAAAATATTTTAAGATAAAAATAAAAGTTTTCCTTTCCAATTAAGGGAAAAAATTTTTAAAAGAAGTGAGAAAAATTAATTAATTAACAAGATCTGGCAACACTTAAAAAGTTTTCGGCCTTGTTTATGGTTTCTTCCTTCCGACGAACATCTGTTAGCTTCGCTATAACTAATACTTTTCAAGTTTAAAGTACGATTTCTTTTTAAATAATCAGAATTGTCTGTGATCTTGAAACGAAAGTAAGTAGCACGAATCGTTTTTTTTTCAATTTAATTTAGAATTTTTAAGTTAAAAACGTCGCACGATCGATGACAATTGAATTATCAAAAGTTCCCGTTTTAAGGTTTAAAATGGTCAAAATGTATTGTAACTCGTCACACAAGTATTTTTATAATACTTGTGTGACGTATTAAATGCGTAAGTCTACGTCAAAATTTAACGTGTAGATTCGTAAAATTGAGAAATTGTATTTAATTATGATTTATTGTGTAATCATTTATTGAATTAAACTTAAATTCAGGTTGTTTTTTTTATATCATCATCATCATCATTGTAATAATTAAGCTTATACAATACATTAAATTAGTGGAAATTAATATTTCTGTGCTTTATCTGCTACATTTTTCCTTCAAATATTTAATTGTTTGAGTGTCTGATGAAGGTTATCAACTTTAAAAGATGTATGTTGATTGAAGGTGTCTTTATACAGAGCATAAATGCTTGTTTTGGTGTCCTTAATAAGTAGTTCTGTCTGATTTTCCTAATACGTATGTATGTCATGATTTACTTGCTTTTATGTATGTAATTAGAGGAGAAGAGTCTTCTAAAGATGAAGTCGAGCATAATAAAATGTGTACATAAATAGAAATGAGTGGCTGCACTTGGTTCAGAACATACATACATACATACATACATACATACATACCTGTACATAATGTGTAGGTAGATGTGTGTATAAAATTTCTTAGTAACTTCAAATTGTATACACACACACTCTAGACTTTTGCTAATCTAGTTGCTCCTTGCACAGAGAAATGTCGGATTACTGAGAGAGTCTATGACTAAAGGCAATGAACGATGTGATCTGTTGTCGTTCTGTACTAATTTCTTCTGAAATTGTGAAATTATGTACAGTACAACAACGTGGTAATTGTAAGTTTAATTGTTTATTGAATTTAATGTTAGAAGTTTAATGTGTGTATTTGTATTTGTTAAATGTATTTAAAAAAACATGAATAAGAGATAAATATTATAATGGAAAGTATGTTAGATAATGGTGGTTGCAGATTAGCAAGAGTGTACTATATATTTATATTATAAAAGCAGTAAGATAGTAAAACCAGTCAAAATGTTTAAGATTAGCCTTTGTTGAATACATTAATTTCTACCAGAGACATAAAGAGTACTTCATTCCAAGATTTGTGGAATTGCTGAGTGCTGTTGTCTAACTTTACTTAAGACTTGTGGCTCTAGTTGGTCCCAAATCCAAGTTGAAATAAAAGAATTAATGACAGGAAGGACATCCTGCCATAAAACAGAAACCAAATCAAGAAGAAATGGTGACTCCACGGATAGTACAACTAAACGCTGAAGGAGATCATCTGGTATATATCTTTATAATTCGTAGCCATCAACTTAATAATGGGAATATATTATTATTTACAAATTTCAGATTTTTAAATTAGAATTACTTGGCTCGTAACTACTATGTTTACTTTAATATTGTTTAGATGAGAACAATTTATGGTTTTATCAAGATATTGTAACTTTCAGAAAAGTTTCTTAAAAATAATACTTCAGTTAAAAGTATGAAATCAATTATATAAGATGTTAAATTACAAATTACTATTCAATATAATGTATGATTCATGAATTATTAAAAATCAAGAAAATGTCTTTAACAATGGGAAACTGGTATATAAAAAATTTTCAAATACATTATTCCAGATATAATGTATGATTCATGAATTATTAAAAATCAAGAAAATGTCTTTAACAATGGGAAACTGGTATATAAAAAAAAAAAACAAATTTTGAGGAGTAAGTTCCAGAACTACTATTTGAAAACATTTCTAGAAACAATAAGTTTGGCTCACAATGAACAAAAATGGCTTCTGAAGCCTGACACTGGCCCCTAAACAAGGCAAAAAATGTATACGTTTTTGTTTTTACATCAACTTTTGTACTGGAGATGTCTCTAAGGTCAATGTGAATTTGCAGAGTAATTCTAGCTGTAGTAATAATTTTATAAGTTAAAAATCAATTTGAGGGGGACCTCTCTAAGAAAATCAGTCCTGTAATTGAAAAATCGAGCAGGAATTTTTATATTTGTAATGGCTGTAAAATCTTATAAAAGGAAGGATTAAAAATCAGTTTTCAAAAATAAGTTGTTATTTCCCTATTTTCATAGAATCCATTTACCTAGATAATAAAACTTATAGCTTTGCAAAATTTTAACTCAACTAGAAGTACTGTATAAAGCTTTAAAAGCTTGCATATATAGAATGCTTATGATATGTATATATGTTTATATTTGTTGCTGAAATTATGTATTGTATTAATATATAAACTTGATAGCTCTACTATGTTTACATAAATTAATATCAAAACAGTAATTTATGCTTCAATAATTTAATTTCTGTTCTGTTCTATTTATCATTATAGAACGAAACTGTCGGGAAGGTGTATAATTATCGTTGTTCTAAGATTATTATTAGTTATATCTCCATGTGAAGCTTGAATTAATTTAGTCATTTGGCGTAAACTTTAGGTAATCGGACAGTCTTCTTTCACTATCGACTCCAAACAGTCCACATATGTAGATTCAAAATCAAATTCACTCATCTTCTCAGCTGTTTTCTCACTTTTCTCCTTCTCCCTCGAAGCATATGTTGGATTACATAACATGTTCTCCAAATTAGTTGGTTTAGACATCTTAACGGCATTGTTACTTCTTGTTGATGGTGGTCAACCTCTTTTCAGCGGGGAATGTGATAAAGGGCCCGGATTTTGCTCAACTCCAGCCAAAATAAGCAAGTACTGTATTATTAATATTAAATATACTTTAATCCATAATATATTCATCATTTAAATTTCTGTTAACTCTTCAAAACAAGCTCACACTAAAATCACTCCAACACTGATGAATTCCTGAAGCGCCCCCAGAAGTTGTTCTAAGATTATTTAAATTAAGTTAGGATTTCATTACTTTAAAACAGATATTATTAGGATACAAAAATATTCCATCGTATCAAAGCATTTCTTAAAGTTTTAATAGGATATCGTCAGTTGATTGTATGAATGACTCAAATTGTTGTTAAGGATAAGGTGGAGGAACCATTTTAAATTGAAAATGTCTACTTTATTTCAATGTAAAATGTGTAATTTTGTTTTTTAATTAATATATTATTTGTTAACAAACTGTTGAAACTTTATTGTCATAAATTGAGGCTCTATTCTCAGAAATATAGTTTGAAGTGTGTAATAACACACAGAGGTGGTTCAACTAAAAAAATATGGCATGTAAGTATGTCGCCTCCACTTTATGACTCACCACTTCTACAACTGATATAATTTTTCTGTTATTATTAATGTGTTTACGTGCCATATTTTTCTTTTCTTTTTGTTTAACCCTCTTTGTGTGTTATATAGTTTAAACTGTATTTCCAAGAATAGGTCCTCAATTCAGGATACTGAGCCTGTAGGAAATAAGAATTTGATTATGATGGCTTGGTTAACAATGGTTTATCGGAATCCAATTAAGTTATAAAAGCAGTCTCTACAGTATAGAATTGAGGTTACAAATTACAGTGATCATGTTATTAAATTCAGTCGTTTGTTATAAAATTTGTATCGTTTATCTTCTTTCAGATATTTTTGGGATAATTCTAGTTAAGATGTATATTAAAATGTTTGAAATTTAAACATATATAATACAGTAGTTTGAAAGTACAGTCTTTCTAAAATTATCATTATATATTTCAGTATCTTGAAAAAATAATCTAATACTATATTGACTGATCTGTAAAGTAATTGCTACAATATATCACTCAATCATCTACATACAACCTTGTACAACAGCAAAAAGGTTTATTAAACCAGAAAAAACTAATGAAAATATGACCAAAAACATTAGTTTTTTCCATTTTAATAAACCTTTCTTGCTGCTGTACAAGTTTGTGTGTAGATGATTGAGTAATATTAACTGCACTGAATGTTCTGATTTTTAGAATTATATACTAGATGTCAGTAACTAAGTAAACTTGCTTTGAAATTACACTTAGAGTCAATATCGATAAACCAACAATGTGGCAGTGCCAATATAGTAATGCGATCTGAAATACTTAATGATGTCATGATGTTACCACATCTTGGTTGTCGTCGATAATATTAAACTCTGCTAATGTTCTGCAACGATTAACGCCCAATACAAACCCCAAAAGAGGCCATAAAAGTTTGATTTTTTTATTCCAGTACATATTATTTACTGGAACAGTGTGTATAGTGTTTCATATTAATTTAATTTTCATATTAAACTTATTTTTTAAATAGATTTTGGTATATTATGCTGTAACAACTCCAACCATTGTAACTTATTACAGTAGACCCCCTATAACACGAGTTCATATAATGTGGATTCGTATATTGCTGCAAAAAAATTGTGACAGTATTCGTATAAAGACACTAAAAGAGACTTGTAAAATGCAGTAAAATGTCATCGTCGACTCGTGTCGCGACAGGATTGGTCGAATCTGGACCAATAGTGGACGAACAGCCAAACTACTTACACGCTACAGAGAGTTTAGGCGGGTAAGTTGAGTATACTATCGTCTGTACAGTATATAAATTAGGTACTGTAAGTCTAATACAGTACTGTAATTTTATACATTTCTTGTGAAAAAACATTTCTTATTCAACAGCCATAAAAATTATTTCCATTAACGATGTCTCCAAAGTTCAACGAATTTTTCGCAGAAAAATAACTTATCAGAAAATGTGCCCATCGTTTGGTGTGCTGCTCCACGACGAAAACAAGCTTAAGCAATGGTGTCATCGAACGGTGCACACTCGGTAATTAATCCTACAATTTTTCATTTATAGCATAGTTTATACAGATTATTCCCAAAAAAACTATACGTGTTTTGGAAATGTTGAGTCAAATTAGTCTAGAATCAATTAATATTATGGAAGAAGACCTTTCAAGCAGCTGTAGTCTGTAAACTGCACATGTGCTGGGCTGTGATTGGCTCATATATTTAAGGATTCCTACAACACAAAACTTATAAAGTGGAACGTATCTACCGCGTTATAGGGGGTCGACTGTATTTTTATCATTGGTAATATCACAGTGATATTTATTTTTTCTCTTACTTAAAATCAGATGTTTTGTATGAGTTTGTTATTGATTTTTGAAAGCTTTGGTCATTACTGTTGTAGAAACTTCAATAATTTAAAAATGCATATTTATTAAATTTATAACAATAACGATGAGCAAACAATAGTTTTCCCTTTCGAATATTACCTTGTAGAAAACTTTGTAATGGATTAATTGGCTAAAAAAATATTTAGATTTTCATAAAATTAGCATATCTTGCAATATAATTAATTCAAAACTCTTATATTATTGATGATAATATATACATTAAATATAATCAGAAGATAATAGTAATTCTTGGTAAGATAAAAACTGCAAGTTGTTGAATTATCATTTTATTGTTTTTAGGTTATGAAATTAATTGTGAAATGATTTGTCACGAGATATTTATGTAGATTAATTTTCTTTACTTACAATTTTGTTTGTGAATTAATTGGTAAGAAGATAATTAAAGTTTCAAATACAGAATTTAAGTTGTAAAAGGTGATAAATTATCCGGATAAATATTCTGGTAGTCTATCAAGTATTTACTGAAAGATGATCAGTCTGACTTAGAAACATTCGGTTGTTGACAAATGCCGGTTTGGGTGTGCTCCATCAATTAGAATATTAAGAATATAAGTGATTTAAATTCACATTCTACAATGGTTTGGACTGTTGAAGAACTGCAAAAATATTATTGTTTAATATATAAAGATTATATTAATGAAATTACAATTTTAAAATGTTAAATAGGATCTGCTTCATATTGAGGAATTTGTAACTTCGCTTTCTTCTTTTGTTAATCAGGGCATCATTGTGACTATCTTCCACTTCTTTTGTTCTGAAGAAGACCATCTTGAACAATTCTCTGATTAACAAAGGAAGAAAAAGAGAAGTTGGAAACTCCCAGAGCAGATCGTATGGAAAAGGCAACAATGACAAGTTTATTCCAGATATAATGTATTTGAATAAGCATAAATACATTTTATTATAGATTCCAAATTAAAATAAGATAGTTGAAAACACTCAAATTTTGAACTAATTAAATAATTGTACAATTATTTTATGAAACATTTGGTTACTTTGCATAATTTAAAATAAAAAATGTAGTAAAATAATTACACGATCCACGAAGAGAAGGAAGTTCTCCGACTTAGGTTAATTGAATTATGTGATGATTTATGTAGTAGATACTGGACCTTTCTGTGTGAAATTAATGCTAGAGTTGTCTGTTAATCAGAGCAAGTAAACAGGAGAGAGAAAGAAGAAAAATTTTTGAAATAATATTTTAGAAATACAAGAAAATCAAGTGTAAGTGGTGAAATTTGAATCTATCAAAAACACTCACAATTCTGGAATGAACAGAATACAATCCAAAAAGGTTCGATATTCACTAAGTTTGGAATTTCTCTAGCTTCAAGGATTTTATCTCTCTTCATGTTTTATCAAATATGACATTTGATTAATTGAAAAATATGTTTACAGATCATAATATTGTTGTTTCTGAAAATGTAAACACGACTTTCTGTCGAATTACTTCTATTACTTAGATTACAACTAGAATATACTGGACACAAACATATTTTTAATTTGGAAAATATAATTGCCAAGAATATATTATTGCCACACATTGGTACGATGGAAGTTTGTTAAGTTAATTTATTAATAAAATTAGACTAAAAGTACATTAAAATCATATTTTTATATGGTTACTTACTATCAGTATCAATAACAAATGTCAATATAGAATTATATTAATCATCATTTAATTTCTCATGTTACTTAAAACTCAATTTTAATGTATAATACAGTAGTTTGAGGAATTGTGTGCTTGTGAATTGTAAGATGATCTCTACATTTGTTGAAATTTGTAGTTTGTTAGTATACACAGATCACTTGAAAATCTGAATGGGTTCATCAAGAAAATAAACACTATGTTTATGAATGAATGCTCTATAAACTGTACAACTTCATTAATTCTAATTGGACTTGGTATATGTAATCAGTTATTATGTTTAATAATCTTTAACTTGTAAACATCTTTAACGAGTGCTTCGATGGCAGGAAGTGTACCTAAATGTTATCTCGGAGAGCGTTAATTCCATTTCCTAATCAATTTTTATTTGATTCAAATTGATTTTTTAACTCTGGAACTTTATTAAATTAATTAATAAAGTGTTTAATAACTAATATCTTTCATTTAATACAAAATATACAATCTTGTTTTAAGAAGTTTTAGAGATATTTATGAAGTTTTACAGAATTTTAATGTGTAACAATTCACAGTTTTGAATTATATCTTTTACTACTGTTATAATAAAGATTATTAATAGTTTAAGGTTGGGTCGATAGATTTTAATACTTGTAACTTAAAAATTTTCAATAATAACCGGTGATAAATGCTTTCGTTTCAAGGAAAAGTCAGTTTGCATTAACAACGAAGGTCATTGTATAAATGTACTGTAATTAAATGGACGTACGCACCATACTGAGTTTTGGTGGACAAAATGCAATCATGCATAAAAGTCTCGTATACTATTTTTAATAAACCTTTCATTTTATTTTATAAAATTATATATATGTGATGAACTATTTTAATATGTTACATTAATTATAATAACAAATTAACCTTGTTAGCAAAATTGATACTGTATTACTTAGAGATATATTTAATATAATTAAAAATAGGAATGCCCGAACTGATAAATCTTCCTTTATGTTAACAAAAGTAGCATCAGACAAAGCTCAAACTTAACAGATGTCATTTCTAACAATTTTTCATAACATTACTTGATTTCTGAAAATTCAGATAGGCAAATAGTGTTTTTAAATTGAAAATATTTGCCAACAGATGTATTTTTATCAAATCTAAATCATTATTTTGTCAAATTAAATATTTTATTGTAATAAAAGTTTAATTTTTGTTGTAGGAAGTTACAAAAAAAAATAAATTATGGAAAATCATAAAATATGGGCTCCCGATCCAGTTCACGGTTTCAGATTAGGTAAAATTGTTGATATAGGCGAGGAAACAATAAACGTTCAACTTTTGGATGAACCGAGCAGGGTAAGTGTTTTACTTTGAGTAGAAATTATTTAAAATTACGTAAATATATGTGTATAGATGTATATAAAACTAAATTGCTCAAATTAAAAGCACATAAAATATTTCTAATTCATAGCTACATGTATTACCTTGAAACATATTGATTTTGTTTTGGTTACTTTTTTAATTTTATTCATACAATCATACTTACACCTCATATTTTCATTAGAATTTTTAACTAATCACTTTATATGAATGCTTGTATTTTCAAGAAACTAGAAAATAAAAGAAAGGTTAATGTTAATCTTCCTTTTATTTCTGTCTTCTTGAAAATGCGAGCATCTGGACAAAGCGATTAGTTAAATATACAGTATCGTCACATTCCCAGAATTGTTAGAATTTTTAATTAACCTGTACATTATTCTTTTACATTTTTAAAAAGTTCAGATTTATAGGTGAATTTTCTGTTAAGAATTCAGATTTACAACTTATTCTAATTATAGAAATAACGATTGAAGGAATTTATCACTAGAGTAAACAGAGATGACAACTCTATTTATTTCTGTAATTAACATAAGAATAGCTTGGTAAAATCTATCAGTTTTAATTTTGTTTGTAGATACAGTAGAGCATTGAATATCCGAAACAATTCGGGACTGGGGTTGTTCGGATAACTGATCATTTAAGAAAAATATAGTAAACACAAAACTGTACTGTATATAATTTGTATCACATGTCTTACAAATACATACCCTACATAATATAATACATTAAAGTAGGCCTACAGTTTAGGCTTGTAGGGAGGAGGAGAGTGCTGCAATGCAACAGCACTAGAAGAAATTTGAATTTGCCAACTGGAACGCCTTCGGTTGATCAATATTTGGATAATTGATGCTCTACTGTATGTACATTTTATCTATTAACTGTGTCTCATGTGTCATATATTAAACGATGATTATACATAAATGTTGTTCTTCATTTAATGTGGATATGCCAAAGCATAAAATCAATTTTCATAGAGTTGAGTAAATGATTGCAAATGATGAAAATATTTTAACAGCAAAATTAAAATGCAGGATATTTATTCAGCAAAATATGATAAAATATATATTGAGTTTAGATTAATTAAAATAGTTGATTAATGATGATGATGTGAGAATGAGCAAGTTTAAGTGAAAAGTGAGATAGCAGATTTTGTACATAAAAAATAAATTTTAATTAAACAAATAAAATGTTATTGTCAAAGATATATTACTAGAATTTGGAGTGTCATTTTAGCATATGAATTCTATTTAATTTTTTTTTTTTAACAGCAAATATATATATTAAAAATTAAGTTTTTAAAATACAGGTAACCCCCGTATAACACGGCACTTCTATAGCACGGATTCGCTCTAACACGGTTCGAGAATTGGTACCATCCCCCGTATAACACGGTACTTTTATAGCACGGATTCACTCTGACATGGTTCGAGAATTGGGTAAAACCCTTGTACAACAGGAAATGTAATAAATTTTTACATACTTAAGTAATAATAGTTCACAAAAATTATTATTTTCGTGAACTATTAGTACTTAAGTATGCAAATTTTCTCTTCTCGCCTTCTGTCGATACACGTGGTCCTTCTCGAAACTCGTTTCAATGTTGCCAGATCGCGACGCTTCTGCTTCTGATGTTGCCGAATGTTTTTCCCTTATTCCATACTTGCTTTATTCTTCATAAGTGCTTAGCACCATATAAGGAAATTTATAAAGACCTTTTAACTAGAAGCAAGCAATCTAAAATTACATACATTTTGCAAAAGGTAAAGCATGGATCTGAAGATAATGCAGAAAAATGCTCAGAGGATAAGGATAACTTGCCAAAAAGAAAACGCTCTCGGTTAATTAATAGTGTTTTTAGTGATGACGAAGAAAACATTGTTTAATTTATATTAATATGTATCACTTAAAAAAATTTTAATGAAGATATTTATCTTAATTATGAAAATATACTAGCATGTTTTTTAATTTTTGGAACCTAACCCTCCTTTTCGTATTAGTTCTTTGTTTCGTATAACATGGATTCGCATAACACGGCAATTTTTTGGAACGTAACTACCGTGTTATACAGGGGTTACCTGTACTTTTATAATATATACAGGGTGTATCAGAATGACATTTTAAAAATTTGGGTAATTGTAGAGGATGAAATTTTGAATGTTTTGCTATAAGGAACCTATAGCTGGAAATGTGATATAAAGTTTCTACAGCACTTTGCATGTTCTGTGCGGTCGGTATGCTGAATGAAACAGCAGAATACAGTATTTATGACAAGTTTTTTTGACAAAACAGTAGAGTATAATCAAACTGTACATCGAATCAGTGGCTGCACTACTTTAGAGTAAATGTTCAATGTGACGACCACCAATTTCGTTACATAATGTGCAACAACGAACCATGTTTTGTCTGACTCTCCGTAAGATGCCACACCCCCCTCTGATGGTATTAAATGCTGTAAAGATGCGCTCCGTAAGCTTATGAACTGTTCCTACAGTTGTTGCGTACACAAGGGACTCACGTTGACTAGCTGTGTGTTTACAACACAGTGCCAGTGGATGCAAGGGGTGACCAGATGGACGACAAACACTAAGTACACAATGTCCTGTACATGGACTCAGACTACTATAGTTGTGTGTTTAGTCTTTCATCTGCAGCAATAACATGACATCAATGGATGGAAGGGTAGCTACCAAAGTGAAGGGTGGTCATGCGCTTCCTACCGCTGTAGACACTTTAGTTCAAATTTCTGGCTATAGGTTCCTTATATCAAAATGTTCAAAATTTCATTCTCTACAAGCCCCAAATTTTTAAAACATCATTCTGATACACCCTGTATATACAGAAAGTCATGAGCAACAATTTGTTATAGATCAGATTAATTTATTTTTGGAAAAAACAAATACAATCACATTATTTTTCAGACTTTTCTTTATTTTTCCATGTAATCTCTATTTTTTTGGATACATTTTTCCCATTGTTGTGGGAGTTTGAAAATTTTCTTATGATTGAACTCTGTTCCAGCACTGCGAAAAAACTGATGCACTGCTTTGTTGATGTTCTTCTCCATTTTGTAGCATTGGCCTCTCATGTTTTCCTTTGCAGCACCAAAAAGATGATAATTGGAGGGTGTTAAATCGAGGCTGTAGGCAGGATGGAAAAGAACTACCCACTCCATTTTCTCTCTCAATTTCTTCCCCCAGGTTCAAGAAATTCTACCAGAATCACTCCATCTGCATCCCAGAAAACAGAGCCCATAACTTTTCCAACAGCACTGTCTTTGCCTTCTTTTTTGTTGGGGAATTGGGGTGGTGCCATTCTATAGTCTGCTGTTTTGTTTTGGGTGCGTAATGATGGAACCAGCTTTCATCATCTGTCACAATACTCCTCAAAAAGTCATCTCCTTCATTTTCATATCTCTTAAGAAGTTCTTGAGTGATGGTTTTTTCATGAGTCAATAAATGGGGAACCCAACAGGCACACAATTTCTGATATTTTAAACTTTTGATCATTTCCTTGACTGCACTGTTCCCTAATTCAATATTTGCTGCAATATCTTCCACAGTTACACATCGGTTTTCCTTAATGATCTCATTCACTCTTTCTTTGTTGAAGCAGTTCACAGATGGCTGCCACGAGGCTGATCTTCAATGCTTGTGTTTCCATCTTTAAAATGCTTTATCCATCTTCTAACACTGCTGGCACCCATTCACACATCTCCATATGCACTCTGAAGTCTCTGATGAATTTATGCAGCGGAGGTTCCCTCTTTAATGAGAAATTCAATCACAGCATGCTGACAAAATGAAACAGCAGTTGCAGCCATTTTGTATTGGCTGTTTGTAGTCACATAGTTGAAGCTAGTGATGTCATGACTTGCTCATAGCACTGTCTATAGTCTACAGATTATAACAATATTCTTAGTTTTTTGTAATTAATAGATTGTGATTTATAAAAAAATTGTTGCTCATGATTTTCTGTATGACTTGCANCATCTGCAGCAATAACATGACATCAATGGATGGAAGGGTAGCTACCAAAGTGAAGGGTGGTCATGCGCTTCCTACCGCTGTAGACACTTTAGTTCAAATTTCTGGCTATAGGTTCCTTATATCAAAATGTTCAAAATTTCATTCTCTACAAGCCCCAAATTTTTAAAACATCATTCTGATACACCCTGTATATACAGAAAGTCATGAGCAACAATTTGTTATAGATCAGATTAATTTATTTTTGGAAAAAACAAATACAATCACATTATTTTTCAGACTTTTCTTTATTTTTCCATGTAATCTCTATTTTTTTGGATACATTTTTCCCATTGTTGTGGGAGTTTGAAAATTTTCTTATGATTGAACTCTGTTCCAGCACTGCGAAAAAACTGATGCACTGCTTTGTTGATGTTCTTCTCCATTTTGTAGCATTGGCCTCTCATGTTTTCCTTTGCAGCACCAAAAAGATGATAATTGGAGGGTGTTAAATCGAGGCTGTAGGCAGGATGGAAAAGAACTACCCACTCCATTTTCTCTCTCAATTTCTTCCCCCAGGTTCAAGAAATTCTACCAGAATCACTCCATCTGCATCCCAGAAAACAGAGCCCATAACTTTTCCAACAGCACTGTCTTTGCCTTCTTTTTTGTTGGGGAATTGGGGTGGTGCCATTCTATAGTCTGCTGTTTTGTTTTGGGTGCGTAATGATGGAACCAGCTTTCATCATCTGTCACAATACTCCTCAAAAAGTCATCTCCTTCATTTTCATATCTCTTAAGAAGTTCTTGAGTGATGGTTTTTTCATGAGTCAATAAATGGGGAACCCAACAGGCACACAATTTCTGATATTTTAAACTTTTGATCATTTCCTTGACTGCACTGTTCCCTAATTCAATATTTGCTGCAATATCTTCCACAGTTACACATCGGTTTTCCTTAATGATCTCATTCACTCTTTCTTTGTTGAAGCAGTTCACAGATGGCTGCCACGAGGCTGATCTTCAATGCTTGTGTTTCCATCTTTAAAATGCTTTATCCATCTTCTAACACTGCTGGCACCCATTCACACATCTCCATATGCACTCTGAAGTCTCTGATGAATTTATGCAGCGGAGGTTCCCTCTTTAATGAGAAATTCAATCACAGCATGCTGACAAAATGAAACAGCAGTTGCAGCCATTTTGTATTGGCTGTTTGTAGTCACATAGTTGAAGCTAGTGATGTCATGACTTGCTCATAGCACTGTCTATAGTCTACAGATTATAACAATATTCTTAGTTGTTTGTAATTAATAGATTGTGATTTATAAAAAAATTGTTGCTCATGATTTTCTGTATGACTTGCATATATTATATTTTATAATATTTTGTAAGGTCACAATAATATAAAAATAATGAAGACAGAATAATTAGTTTAAGAAACATTCAGTTTATAAAGGGTAAAAAAACTGATTTTAAAATCATTCTACTTAATATCACTTATCATAGACAAATCTTAACTAATTGACAAGACTATGTCTTGTTTATAAAATCGTACTGCCACCCGTTCTTACCAGCATAGAGGTATGAAGGAGTACATGTCAAGAGTTGATATTTGGCACAGAGTATTAGATGTCCAAATCATTTGCGCATAAAAAAATCCAGACTCGTAGGTAGTCAGGGGACCGAGAATCGAGTCAAAATAAAATACAAAATGGCAACCCTCTTCTACAAACAGGCAAAATACCTCACCTCACCCCACCAAAGTCAGGTAGGGGAGAGTACTACCCACAGTCATTCTAAGAAGTGAACTCTGACCTTAGGACTGAACATGTAGTTTCTTCTATGTTAAATAAAATTTGTAATCTAATTTTGTAAATTTGGGAGTGCTTCAAATATGACGTTAAAACAATTTTATGTCGTCATTACAAGTGGGCTTTTTTTATCATTATCTAGTATAGTAAAATCGTAGGACCTATAAAAATTTGACGTTATATTAGGGTTGTCGTTAAATTCGATGACATTATAATCAAGTTAAACTGTATATTGTTTGTGCAAAATAAAAAAATAATTTTGGACGATACAATAGCCACGATTATTTTTTCAAAAACGGGAACTTTTTGTTACGCATCAACAAAAATTCAACCCGGGCTGACACGCAACAGAAAGAAATTTTGAAATTAGATAGGTTAATTTCATTGAAGATGCATCGTGGATGATCTCGTGATCATGGCCGGCGAAGTTTGAATGATTGTGCCCAAAAGCAGCGATATCAAAGAAGATAGGAGAATGAGAACGAGACCTACCTTGAGCATCAAAGTGATTCCGTCTCCGAGACATAGTATTGTCCCAAATACAGTTTTGCTGTTTTACTTGTTTTATTATAGAATTATTTATATTTATTTATATAAATATTAAACAACTTTAAATTTATCTACAGAAGTGTATCAAAAGTACAGGCATACCTCGACTTACATCGTTTTGAGTTACGTCGTTCCCGATTATACGTCGCTTGTTAAAAAAGTATATGGAAAAATAAAAATCAAGTTTAAGTCATTTTATTCGACTTTACGTCTGTCCGCCATAAATATTGAAGTCATAATATGACTAGAAAAACGTTTAAAGCACATAAAATCATATTAAAATATATACAAGTACGTACTGTATTTACAGTACACGCATTCGTAAATTTAGATTACTTTTTTTGTACTATATTAAAAACTAAAATTTATTTGTTTGTAAGCTTAAAATAGATTTTTATTTACCATATATTATTAAAAATGCATTAATAAATAAAATACAGAACCGGAAATGGTAATTTACGGTTTAGCCTAGTGATAAGTAGATTCGGAGACAAGTAAATTCGACTTACGTCGTTCACCTGGAACCAATTACCGACGTAAGGCGAGGTATACCTGTACTAAGACTGGATAAATAAAAACATACAGTAATTATGAAAGCATAGAATTTAGTTTACTGTATTTGAAGTTATATTCTCTTACTAGTATATACATGTCTTTAACATTAGTTATGCAATGATTAAAATACTGTTTACATTCCTTTCAAGAAATTTTTTAAAATTTCTGTGTCATTATTTCTTGAAATTCATGATCCTGTCAAAATATTTGCTTTTAAGAATAAATTTTATTGGTGGAAATAATAGAAAAACCAAATTTATTAAATATTTGTCTCCTTCAAATGAAACATAGACTCAGCCGTTTGATGCAAGCACATGATTTATTGTAAGTGTAAGGATTTACAGACACAATATACTTGACAACGAACAACTCACTTACTTATTCAGAGGTATTGTACATCCCTCCACCCATATAGTGGCACTCTACTCTTCCTCATCATTGTGTGTATTTCCACTATAGTCTATGTTACATTTGAAGGAACCAAATAAATTACTCCTCTCTCCCTCAATGAAAATTTCATTAAGATTAAAATGACAAAGGTTTGTTTTTATAGAAAAATCTGGCAGATCTTTCTATAAAAACAAACCTTTAAAGATCTAATTTAAACTTAATATTTGCTTGTTTCGTTTAAAAAATTTTCATGAAGTACAAAATGTGTAGCTACAAAATAGTGTTTTTAAACATGGCGTACGCAAACTGAGCAAATGATACACAATCTATCATATTTATAATAATTAATTCATGCCCATCTTTTTAATTTTAAAATTTATTAAATACAATAAAGAGTACGAGCATAATAAAAATTTGGATAGAAACATACATAAAGAATATTGACTCTAACTTTATATTCATTCTTTATATAATAAAATACTTAATATATTCTGGGTATTTGTCAAGAATAAAAAAAAAAAACAAGATTTTTAAATTCTTTGTCATGCATTTATATATTTTAATTGCATTTTTTCAGATAATCTCTGCNTTTTAAGCTTTTTTTTTATATCTTAGTGAATTTAATTATATATAAGAACAATATTTTAAAAATAATTTAAGGCTAATAAGTACAATAATCTTGACAACATGTTTTTATTGGGGTAATCTTGTAAACTTATTTTAAAAATAATAATAAATGCATGAAAATCTGTCTATATTCACAAAATTCTGTAGATCTTTGAGGTTTTAAAGTAAATAAATAAGTAGATGATTGTGTTGTAATGATGAATAACTTATTGTTGAATAGAATTAGATTTTCTTTATAATATTAAAGCCCTTGTAGAAATGTCTGATTCAATTTTTAGAAATATGAGTCACAAACAGGAAAATAACAGTTAAAATAAGAATATAATACAGTAAGTATGTTGAAATTATTTTAAACTAGAAAAACATGAATTACAATTGAATACTTTACATGAGAATGAGATTTCGTAAAGATTTATTTACATTTGACAGTTACAAATTTGTCCAGAAATAGTGATATCTCACGATGTTATATTTATTCTTCAATGCGGATTTAGTGTTGAAAAGTAAAAAAGATGATTCAGCATTAAAGAAACAAGTATAAAATGTATTGTTTCTTTTTATTAAGCTTTTAGTTTAGTGTTATAAATACTGAAATTTTATAAAAATGCTTATGGCAAACATTAATCATAAAATACAATCCTAAAAATAATTAATACCTGTTTAAATTTTTGATATTCTGTAATTTATATAATAATTGTTTTTCTTTAAAAAAAAATTATTTAAGTAGAGTTAAAAATGCTACAGATTTGTAGATGGAATATAAATGACAAAGAATTCACTAAAATCAGAAAAATTACCTTAAGCTTGTTAGAAAATTTTCAAAAAATGAATGTATAATCCAGTGGTTCATGACTTGTGTTTCGCAAACTTGCTCCGAGTGTTCCACAAAAAAAATTTTTTTTATAGTTTTTATTGCAAATTTCTTCCAATGTACAGTACTACAACATATTAGTTTATTCTATGTGTACTATTTTATTCAATACAATAAAGTTTATTAGTTTATTGTTTTATGAGAATGGTAAATGTGTTTTTAAAAACTGATTTGTGTAAATTGAACCTAATGTATACAGTACATCTTCATGTAACAATTAACATGACAGCAAAGAATAATTACATGATTACAATCAACTATGCGACATTCGTTTAATGAGAATATTTATATGGAAGAATTCTATTCTCTAAATTGAATTAGTTTATATTTCTACTGTTTTAAAATCAATGGCAGATGCTAAGAATATTTTATGATGTTGTCAAGCAGAGAATAATGTTTGAATAATTAACTAGTGAAGTGAGAAAGTTAAATGTAATGCTGTCTAGTTAATGCGTGATAGATCTTTTCTAGAAAATGTTAAATTTATACCTCTACAAAGTGCATTAAATCACAGTCTACTTAAATGTACGTAAACTCACTTAATCTATTTACCTACCGATGTTAAACAATTTGTGAAGCTAATATACATAAAAAAATTAAAAAAAAAATATTTTGTGATAAACACAATTGAAGAAGAAACTAAATTGATTTGCCAAAATTTATTTATTTATCGTGAATCTCTTGTTTGGCCTAAAAATATGTAAACTGTAAATAATATTAAACTGATAAGATACATTCATATTATTGAAAAATAAATTTAGTCTAGTTTTGAATTAGGTTTACGATTCATTCTTGTGAGATACTAATCTTTTAATTTAAATGAGTCGTTAAACTTTGAGATTGATTTTAATTATTGATTACTATAAGTTATAAAATATTTAATAACTTTTGTTAGCTTTTTTATTAATAATTTCTATAATAATCAATTTAAAAAAGTCATATCTCTTTTACAGTTAATTTGAAAATTAATTGTGTTTTTAAAAATTTATTTAACTACATAATAATGACATTTTATATTAATTTTTTCTGTTAAAAATTTTTATTAGGTGCTTTAATGTATTTAAATGAAGCAACTTTGCTGAATAACATCAGGATACGTTATCAGAAAGATCAAATTTATGTAAGTTTAAGCTAAATTATATAATCTTCCTACGTTATATCTATTTTAAACATGATTTAGTCTTATAAAAACAGCTTGTGATATTAGACCTCTTCTATTGTTTGACTTTTTAACAGAACAAAAGTGAAAATTTTTTAAATTAATTTTTATACTTATTTTAAAAATTAACACTGTAGAATATCAATCGTCTGAGCTAATGTGGAATGATGCTATTTCAGGTAAAATGGACAGCCACAGTCATTTTGGAATAAAAATTATGAATGTAAAAGATTTATATGATATATCACTTTTAAGCTTTTTTTTTATATCTTAGTGAATTTAATTATATATAAGAACAATATTTTAAAAATAATTTAAGGCTAATAAGTACAATAATCTTGACAACAAAAATGTGTATTATTTTAGTTACACTTTAAAATGAATGGCTTATCTCACATTGGTGTTAAATAATAAAATATAACTGAAACGAATTGTCTTGTAATGCATGTTATTGTTTTCTGTATATATTTTTAAGCAGTTTCAAGTTACAACAACAGGTCACTTTCAGGCTCAGGAAATTGGTAGATACAGTAGAGCGTCGATTATCCGAAAGTCAATCATTCGAAACGTCAATTATCCGAAAGAATTCCAGTCGGCAAATTTAAATTTTCACCAGTGCTGTGGCACTGCAATCTTTGGCTATGTCTTGGGCTACTCAAATATTTTACATTTTTGATACTAAATTAACTTCTGAAGTATAATTTTTTATTGTTTTTATATTTTTCAATATATTTATTTTGTTTGTACAAAATAAAAAAATAATTTTTAACGATACAATAGTCTTCGTTAGGCTTAACATCGACGAANCACGACAGAGAAAAATGTCAAGATGGGATAAATTAATATATTTTTTTGTACATAATCGGTAATCCAAAACATTGATCTTCCGAACAACCCCAGTCCCCAATTGATTCGGATAATCGACGCTCTACTGTATTTAAATAAATAATTTTTACACATAGATATTACATCAATAAACTGCGTTGTGAAAATTATCATTTTTAAGATTTCAATCGAAATTTGAAGTACATCAAATGTTTCACAACCAGCAAAAGGTAGTTATAGTCATGGAAAGGTGTCTAATAATTTAATTGCAGATGAGGAATATAACTAGGAAGGTAGTAAATTATTACATATAGTTCTCTTTAATCATTCACAATGCTTTCTGGCAAAATTTTACACATACTAATGAGTGTAGTTGTCAGAAAAGCATGGAAAACATGTTGACTTTTGACACCATATGCACCAAATAAACAGTACAGTTTATTTTATAACTAATAATTTCAGGAAGTTTATAATAATAATAATAATAATAATAATAATATACAGTTGAACCAGTTTATCTCAAAACTGATTTTTTCCCCTGCATTTTCAGCCCAAATTCAATATATTTCCATGTTTATCTCAAATAATTTTCTCACAAAACCTTTATGTCAAATTAGGGACCAAAATGTCAATTAAAAACTCACACCTCTGTAACTACATTTTGATGGCATAAAATGTAATTGAGGAACATCTTTTATAATATAGTATATAGTATATGCTGTAGTTGCAGTTAATGCTGCTTTTTTTCTGATTGGCTACAAGTTTGGCTTGCAGTTGAAGAAAGTCAGGGATCAGGAACTATTGACAAACTATTTCCATTTAAGATATGTCAAGAACGTTTTATTAATACCTAATACAGGTATGTACTGTACTTGCTGTTGTATTAGTAAAATACCATACTTCCAATCAAACCTATTACTCTTTGCCGTGTAGGGACCTCTATATCTCGAAATCTGTCTATCTCAAATTTTTTTTCTCATTTTTGTGAGGTCCGAGATAGACTGGTTCAACTATATTTTTACCATAATTGAATTAAAGTTGCCAAGGTATTTTTAAAAAATATGTATAGGTTAAAAAGACAGTGAGTAAATAAATATATAATAGAACATCTGCATAAATGTTGTTATGTTCATCTATTACATGAAAATACATAATAATACAATGTTTCTAATAAAATAGGAATGTACTGTACATATTTATATAATTACCAGTCTTTCTTTTATTGATACAGCATTTCTTATATAAACCGTATCGTACATCAAAAGTACCGTACATCAATGAAACATAGTTTCATTGATGTACGGTACTTTTGGTCATAAAGAATTTTAAAAAGAAAATTTTTAACCCACTGTTATGCTGTTTCTCTAATGAATAAGAATTATTGATGGTTAGAGTAACTAACACCTGCAGTGCAGCCATGTGGCAGCTAGCCACTGGCCATAACCCACTACTCTTTACTCACTGATTGTCCAGCAGCAAGGCTGTACCTTAATACCCCATAGTGCAAAAACTATTCTATTTTGTTGAGATTTTGGATTTATCTGGTAATACATTTGAAATTTCTTTTTGACCATATCCATTTAGTTTCATAAATCTAGAAGTTGTATTTGGTAGTAAAAATGAAATGTTATAGCTTTCAGAATGGGACTCATTAAATGTGCAACTGCAGTTGTCAATAAGAAGAATAATGTGTTTGGTTAGCACAATGTTGCTGTTGAGAACGTATCATACAGGAACACTTTAAGAGGAAAAAGGTTGCTTTATTGACTTGGACGGATATGCATTTCGGGCTTAATGCTCCTCTTCAGTCCTATTATTATTACATAATTATCAAATTGGTTACAGGTATCAAAATTTACAGAATTCATTTTAAAAATTAGTATACGTGTACAGTGATTTATATGATAAAATACAATTACCTGAGATAGTGACCATTAAGCTGGTATTACACATAAGATATATATACACATATTTAAACACGGGAGGAGGAATGAGCAAATAGTGCTATCAGATCAATATACATGCACCTGAGGATAGTATAATGTGTGTTAAAATAAAAATTGGTATGCACAAAACTAAAAAAGTATATATTAAAAAGGTGTAAATTATGAAAAATTAACGAAATACCTGTAGGATGTGACATAATACAGAAGAGATGTGTAGAGAACAGGCCTGATGGGAGATGTTACAAAGAAGTGAGTGATCCTTGTAACATATACAGAGGTTGGTGGGAATTGCACAGTGGAGGTTAAGGTGGGAGGATGGTAGGACAACTTAATAGGCTTTGCATCTTAGGAAAGGCTGCCAGATGTCATTTATGACAGTACCAGTATTTAAGTTCATTCTGTGTGTTTCTTTAGTTTTAATAATTTCGATATGTTCGTAGAATTTCCTTTTAAAAATGTTTTTTTCCCTTTTAAGTATTTTGATGCTGTCGGGTGAGATCTCGCAGCCAGTTTGGTTGCAATGAGTAGCAACTGCAGAGTTGATGTAATTATATTTTATGGCTCTAATATGTTCATTTATCCGGGTTTTTAGTACTCTACTGGTTTCACCTATGTAATAGAATTTAGGATGACAAGTACAGGCAAAGCTGTAGACTAGATTGTTATTAAGTAAAATGTCTNCTTAACCCCCACTGTGCAATTCCCACCAACCTCTGTATATGTTACAAGGATCACTCACTTCTTTGTAACATCTCCCATCAGGCCTGTTCTCTACACATCTCTTCTGTATTATGTCACATCCTACAGGTATTTCGTTAATTTTTCATAATTTACACCTTTTTAATATATACTTTTTTAGTTTTGTGCATACCAATTTTTATTTTAACACACATTATACTATCCTCAGGTGCATATATATTGATCTGATAGCACTATTTGCTCATTCCTCCTCCCGTGTTTAAATATGTGTATATATATCTTATGTGTAATACCAGCTTAATGGTCACTATCTCAGGTAATTGTATTTTATCATATAAATCACTGTACGCGTATACTAATTTTTAAAATGAATTCTGTAAATTTTGATACCTGTAACCAATTTGATAATTATGTAATAATAATAGGACTGAAGAGGGGCATTAAGCCCGAAATGCATATCCGTCCAAGTCAATAAAGCAACCTTTTTCCTCTTAAAGTGTTCCTGTATGATACATTCTCAACAGCAACATTGTGCTAACCAAACACATATAATAGAGAACAACAAGCAACCTTGATTCAAGAAGAATAATTTTTCTGTTTTTGGTAATTGTACAGGTGTCTAACTTAGTTAGCAGTTAGCAAAAAGTTCCAATGTATTACATGCTTTATTTGCTGCATATTGTTTAGCTAATGTTTTGACATTGCAGAAACATGTGAAATTTTAAAGATTTTTCAATGAATAACAACAATTACAGTTTATCGTTACCTTTTATGTTTGTTCTCAAAAAGATTTACGCATTCTTGCTTTTTTACTTTTCCAGCTGTTATATATAACAGGGAAAGTATTGCAATCAGTCAAAAAATAACCCCCCAAGATTTTTACATCTTTGGACTTAGGGGACCTTGAAACATCGGGTACGTTCGTACCAGACTACAAGGAAACAGACTTGCTGGTAAACTTCTGTAGGCACAGTAAGGGTGGAGGTGGGACTTCTCAGGGACAGCTGTTTAATAAAAACAAAATAAGTGAAAGAAAACAAAAGACTACAAAAAGGAAAAAAGAAATGACTGGTAAAACCACTGAGCACTAGTAGTTGGTTGTGAGTTCACACCTGGCTAATGGGCTGGCCACATGGAGTTTTCCAGATTTATTTCACATTAATAACCCTAAACAGGGGCTAGTTTTCCATAAAAGACCTTCTGGGAGGCATTCCCCCTCAGCAGATCGGTCACGTGTAGCATTGCCATATACAAATAAAACCAAAACTAAAAGCATTCAATGCCAATTGCTTTGTTCTTGTGTTCTGTTGTTTTTTGCGTCTATTTTCTGTTAGTTATACACAATGCTGTTTTTTTTATTTGACCTGTAAATTCCATAAGGTATGCTCAAGGAGCACAGACATTGTTACGTTAACTCCACTTTATATCAAAAACAAAATCATGGACCCCTATTTTCTACATTTAAATTTATTATATTTCTGGATTCTTCAT